GTCTTCCAAATATTTTTAGAATTTATATAATCATATACAAACATATCTGTACACACACACACACACAGCACATCCATATGTTGTGTTTTAGGTCATTGTTTTACAAAAATGAAAATGTATATACCCTTTTCTGTACCTTGCTTTTCTCATTCGACTATATTTTGGGGAAATTTCTCCCAAGTGAAGAGTTTCTTTTAATGGTCATATAATGCTCTGGAGATGTGTTGTGATTTATTTTTCTACCATTCCCCCTATTCGTGGAGATCAGTTTGTTTCCAGTTTTTTTCCTCTAGAAACAGTACTTCAGTAAACATACTTGTACCTATCTTTCTATATATGCTGGTATTTTGTTTCTGTTGATAGGGTTGGGATAACGGGGTCAAGGACATGAGTATACTTAGCTTTAAAAACTAAACTGCTTCCCTAAAAAAAGCTGTAACAATACATATTTACACTTACAATTAATAAAAATGCTTTCTTTAGCTAGGTTTCCCCAGGCTATTGTGTTATAACTTTATTTTTAACATTTTACAAGTGTAATCCATGTAAAGTAAAATCTAAATGTTACTTTATTTGCATTTCTTTGACTACAGTTGAATTCGATCATCTTTTCATAAGTTTTTTGGCTGTTGGCTTTTCCTAGCTCTGCTTCCCAAAGGGACCACTGTACTTTCATATTCTTTATCATTTTTCCAATGAGCTGTTTTGTCTCCTTGTAAATTTTTAAGAGCTTCTGCTATATCGTATTCATTTTTTGCCTGTCCTCTACCGTTATGAACTTTTTTTTTCAACCTATTATATTTCTTTATGGTATCTTTTGCCATGCAAAAGTTTTGAATTTTATTGAGATACTTTAGTTTATATTTTTCTTATAGTTTCTGTATTTTCTGCCTTGCCAAAGCACACCTACTCTCCCTTCATAGATTATATTTATGGTTCCTAGATTCTCTTATAGGATTTTGTTTGTTTGTTTGTTTAATATTTTAACGTCTAATCTATCGAAATCCATTTAGGATTTATTTTTAGAATTAGTGTAAAATAAAGATCTAGTTTTCTTCCAGATGAATAACCATTTGCCAGCCTCTATATTATTAAGTAATCCATCCTTTTGCCACTAAATTGAAATGTCTCTGTTGTTGCATATTAAATCCTCATTTAATTGTGGATCTATTTCTAGATATTCTCTTTCAAATATCTGTTTAGGCCAGTTTTCAATACTTATTGATTTGATTACAGTAGCTTTACAGAATTTTCTGATATCTGGTATATCAGATTATAGGTAATTATTAAATGCTTAAGTAAATGCATTAAAAAAGAAACTAATGTGTCAAAATGATACTCGTATAATTAAAATATTTTTTCTAAAATCTTTCCAAGACCTATGTATTTTTATATGAACAGATATGGGAAGAAAAGTTTTATTGTGCTTATGAGATCTTATACAAGTGACAGTTTGTTGTATTTTCAGTCTTTGAATGCTGTACTATATTAATGGTACTGTTTCCTTAATTCACAGATTGGACCTTCCGCGGAATCATCCGTGACTGTGTCTTCACTCTGAGCTACAACGGCTTCCCAGTGGGACCACTGCTCAGGGGAGAGTTCTGAGGTTTTCCTAAAGAGAAATTCCATGGGGACTGTACCTGACCCTCTGAGATCGGCTAAAACGTCCCTGATCACAGCTTCTGGAAAAGAGGAGGATCCGAGAGAGGTGCGGGCTGCCTCTCCTCAGCCTGCACCAGCCGCGCTGTGTAAGAACACCAATGGCCTTTCCAGTGCACCTGCCGAACCAGACCTCAGCCCCAGGGCAGCTGCCAAGGCCCTGATGCAGGCCTGTGAGCATGAGACCACCCAGCCAGACATGTCTTCTCCTGGCGTCTTCAATGAGGTGGAAATAGCTTCTCCCACACTCAACTCTCCTGCCAATACCCAGCTGCGAGGAAGCAGCAAGCCTGTAGCACCAGCCCCGTGTTCTGCAGCAGGAAAGGATCTTATACACACAACATTTACAATGCCAGCCAGTCAGCAGACCCACCAGGCCATTTCAGGTGAACAGCCTAATGCCGGTCACTTGTCAGGATCTGAAGATCCCCTGGTGAAATCACAGAGAACCTCAGATGGAGAGCAACCTGAGAAGTCAAGTTGTCCAGTGGGAAGCACTTGTAACAACAGCAAAGATCAAGTGCCCTGTGATTTTTCTTCTCAAGAAACAATCCAAGGAATGGTGCAAACTGCAAATGCAGCAGCCAGGGTGTTCAGTCATGCCTCCTCTCCTGTAGGCGGACATAAAGGGGAAAGGCAGGGAGCCATTTGCGACTCACAGATGAGGTCCTGTAAATCTCCAGCAAGAGAAGACAGATGTTTAGGGAATAAACAGCCCTCTGCCCCCACCTCAAACACCCAGGCGGGGACTTCTGTGACACCTCAAGCATCCCTCATTAGCAAAGTTTCAACGTTTCCTCCAGATGCAGAAAAAGTGCTGCTACCAGCACAGCATCAGGTGTCAAAGTTCAAAGAAGCAAGTACAATGACGAACCAAGCTGAAAATGAGATCAAGGAAGTTCCCAACAGGGCTCGGCAAGATGCTGAGGTGCAGGCAGTGGCAAGTGTTGAGAGCAGATCAGTCTCGACCAGCCCCAGCATCCTCACTGCATTCTTAAAGGAAACCTCCCCTACTCCTGAGCACTTTGAACAACATGAGCAGCTGCGTGTCATTTGCCATGGCAGTAGAAGTCACACACTGGAGCTGTCAGACAGCACCCTAGCCCCCCAGGAACTGGGGCAGTGCCCTAGTATCATGCCAGAAGTGCACATCCAGACAGTTGCAGCTGTTTCTGCAGCTTTCCAAGGGGATAGTAAATTGGTGAGCCTACCAGGTGAGGTCCTCAAAACCTCATCAAGCAGTGTGGCATCCAGTAATGTTCAGGATACATGTAAAGAAGATGGGAGGTCGGCAGGAATGACTCCAGTAAGAGTGGAGCCTACCTCTAAACAGCTTTCAGGTACTAATTCTAGCTCCCTGAAAGCTAGCCCTACTGACCAGGTTTCTATAAGTGTAGGGAGTCAGGATGAAACAAGTCATGGATTGGGGAAATTTAAAACCAAGCCATCTGAGCTTGCAGTGAAAACCACAAATGGCCACAAAACAGAGCCAGATTGCAAACTCTCCAACTCTTGTGGCCCTGCCAGCCAAGCCGACCAGTCCGGGAGCTTGGATCCCACTAATAATGGAGATGGGAGAGAGAAGAAGCCTGCGTCTTCTCAGATAGTAAAAGAACAGGAGCCTAAGGATACTGATATCCTCGATGCCAGGGCAGGAGCAGAGGCCAAAAATCTGCTCAATCCTAAATCTCAAGAAAGTGGAGGCACGGGATCAGTTGCCAGTCCCATACCCTCCCCGATTAGAAATAACCAGGAGGGCACTGTGGAAGAAATTAGACAGACCAAGACAGCCACCAGCCTGAGCCTGCCGTCTGATTCCATGGGTGACTCTAGTCCTGGTTCGGGCAAGAGGACCCCTTCGCGGTCGGTCAAAGCCAGCCCGCGCCGGGCCAGCCGCGTCAGCGAGTTCCTCAAGGAGCAAAAGTTAAACGTGACAGCGGCTGCCGCCCAGGTGGGGCTCACTCCAGGAGAGAAGAAAAAGCAGCTCAGCGTGGACTCCAAGCTGCAGTTGAAACAGTCCAAGCGTGTCAGGGACGTCGTGTGGGATGAGCAGGGCATGACCTGGGAAGTGTATGGCGCTTCCCTGGACCCGGAATCCCTGGGCGTCGCAATCCAGAACCACTTACAGAGACAAATCCGGGAACACGAGAAATTAATCAAAGCGCAAAGCAGCCAGACCCGGAGATCCATTTCCTCAGATACTTCTTCAAATAAAAAGCTCAAAGGAAGGCAGCACAGTGTTTTCCAGTCCATGCTGCAGAACTTGCGACGCCCCAACTGCTGCGTTCGTCCTGCCCCTTCCTCTGTGTTAGATTGAAAGGGAACGTGTATCGGAGCCCTTGTATACATTTAGGGTCTCCTTAAATGTCAGTCCCTGGCAAACCTTAGTTTTTGTTGTTGTTTTTTTCTGAGAGACCAGGAAGAGAAAGCGAGGATTAACTGTAGGAAATTGCTATTAAGAAATGTTAGGTCCTTTGATCGGGACTCCATAAATTAAAATATTGTTTCAATTTGAAAGAAAGAGAGAAAAGGAAGCTTCCCTGAAAGTTTACAACCTTAATTAAGAGGAAATAATATTCACTGGGGTTTTTAATATGATGTTGCTTTTAGAACTAGCATTAATACACATGTCATTTTGTGTTACTGTCTCAATTTATCATACTATGGTATTTCCATTAAACTCCCTGCTTTATATTGAAAATACTAAAAACACTATTAGCAAAAGCACTGTTATACTTTCTAGTCCTATTACAATAAGACTGCTGTTACCACACAAATTGTAAGTGGCTGAGAAGAACTATAATGTAAAAATTTGAAAAAAAATTTGACTCATTCCTAGGTCAGATGATATTAAGTAAAAGCATTTAAATGCATAAATAAAATACCAAATGTGAATTAATATTTGTAAACATCTACAGATAACCATTTTATAAACCTTCTTATACCTCTTAATAAATGTAGGAAAGTTATATTAGGGAAATTAGCTATGCTTTTGAATATTAATACTGCCCACATAAAACATGAATTTTATACACAGACTTTCCTGCACTGGAAGCAAGGTGCATCTCTGTGATTCTGACGAGATTAAATTCATATTTCCTTACCATAGAGGAAGTACACGCTCCTGAATTCTTGACAAGAATCATCATATTATCTATAAGACTAAATTTTATGTTGTACAGATATTCTCCAAAAACATTGTACTGAGAACATTAAGGTTCAGGTAAGGAATTATAAACAGCCAATTAACAAACACTCTTCTTTCTATGTTGAAAAATGAAAGCTTCCTGAGTAACAAAAACAATATGTTTAATTTAGACTCCTGTAAACATGATAGAGTTTGTGTTTCTCTTTTGATTTGGTCAGTAGCTCCTAATAGAAAATGTAGTCAACACCAAATAGAACACAAGCTTCCTCACAGTTTTTGTGTGTAGACTAGTATCATGTAATTGCTTAAGTTTCTAATCTGTAGCAAAAAGGTAAACTCTGCAAATTTACTGATTTTAAAAGAAATAACATTATATCTCATCTTTCAAATTCTATAAAAGAAGAGGTCTCCCTTAAAACACAGTGTGAGCTCTGGGTGGGCTATAGTACTTGAGAACATAGGTGCCTGTTTGAGCTCAGCTCTTATCTGTCTCCAGAAGACCCTGTACAGGGGACCCACGAGTGTCTTGCAGAGTGCTGGGCTGGGATGACCAGCAGTGGCTTGAGAGTTGGGGTAGTGTTGAACAGAAAAATGAGCTAGGGCCCTGGAAAGGCTTCCCCTCCTGGATTCATTGTAGGGAGATCACTGGTCTCTACCTTGCATTTAGAAAATCAGATTGTCAGATGTTGGAGAGGCACTGGTTGCCTTCTCTGAACTCATTCCCCTAGATAAGACAGATGGCCATGTGTTCTCTCTCTGGAGACTCATATATGCCAATTTTACATGAACTCAAAATCTGTTTTGAGTTCTTTTTTTTTTTTTCAATTTTAATTCTTTTGCAAATTCTGAACATATGGGGAAAACTCATACCTAAACTTTCACACCACAAGCTACATTGGATGTAGCTTAAATTAGTAATAGCCATTGATTTCTTTCAAAATAATCAGATTGCATATGAAGTCTGCATACGTAGACCACAGTCACAGCATTCTCAGAGACTGAGAATGGTACTTATAGCGGTTGTACTTGGAACTTACAATGATTTTTTAATGACACATTTTTCAGTTTCTTACCAATTTGCTTCTATTTAGAATGCTATCTAAAGTAGAAATTACCATCAAATTAGCAATCAAATGACTATTAACAATTAGAGATTAAGTCTAAAATTCTCTCTTTTGGCCTTAAATATTTGTTTGTAGCAATGTTCATGTCACTTCCGTCAGAGATGCCTTTTCCAGGATGTCATCTCACTTCTGTCTCTCGCTCACTGGCTGTCTCCCTCACACATTGGCATATATGCTGTGTATACACAGAGAATACTCTGTGTACACAGTGGCAGCTGTCAACAGTACCCACTCCAGCTGAGTGGGCCCCAAGTAATCCTCTGCTGTGAACTGGCTAGAACAGGCTGTTCCTGCATTAAAATAGGAGAAAAGGAAGAATTCAGCATCTGGTGATAATATTTATTTTCATGAGTTTGGAGTAACCACATGATTTATAAATAGTTAAACGAAGCAGAGGCCTAAAAGTGTTATAGACACTTGTCCCACATTAAATAAAGAAATTAATAAAATTTAACCAAATTAAAGCTAAACTTGGTGTTATTGTGCCTCATATTAAAACTTAACATTTTAGGTAGTAACTTTAACTGGTTTTCTTTGGTGCTATGAACTTTCTTTACTTCTTAATCTTTAATTTTTAATTTTTTATCTTCTAACATACTTTAGAGATTGTCATAAAATATTACAAAAGCTTTCTTGTTTTGTAGCTTATTGAATCTCATGCAGGGGACGGCTTTTAATTTTTTTTTTTTTTTAATTTTTTTCAGTGAAGGAATGGCTTTTAAAAACAGTAACAGAAATAGATTATTAAGTGGATAAATAAGATAGGAGCCTGTTCAAAAAAAACCATGTTTGGACATTACGATACCCTGTGTAGTCTCACAATAAAACCTTGATTTGAAAATTTTCCTTCACTTCAATCTGTGACACGGCACAAACATTCAGTACATTATTCCTGACTCCTTAGGTTCATTCAACAAATAAGGTTGCAGAGCAATTTTAGTGGCAGCTTCTTTGAACTTGGGCTATTCTTTTCCTGAGTGACACACATTGAGATGAAAATTATTTTTGTCCTTAATTTCTTTTGGTTATGTTTTGATCCTTTTTAATGCATTTTAGTTGCTGAAATAAATGAAGAAAATGTTTTATTAAGTAAATAAATATAAAATATTTCTTAAACCAGTAGGAAAAGAGAGATGAGTTAGAACACAGATTCCGGAGGATAATGAAACATTTAAAATGTTAAAATGCTATCTAAGTTACCCTGTGAATACTAGAATTTTTAATTTAAGTATTGATTTTTCTATTTTTATGACCATAAGAAAAATGTCATCCCTCCAGCTGTCATGTTTCTCTTTAGTGCTTTTCTAATTATATCTTTCCAAATTATTAGTTTTAATGCGTAAACATATAGTAAGATCCTAATTAACTTTTCTGTGCTTTGGATCACTGGCATAATTTGAACATTTTGTTAGGCCAAGGTTAACCAGAACTTTTTGTTTGCATCCAAAATGAAATATTTATAAAATATATGATTACGATTTCCTACCTTGACAAGTTCAGCTGTATCGAATATCATTTGATTTTTTATGGATTTTTAATTTTAGAATTGTCTGATATTCATTATTTTGGATACCAGTGTTCTCCATGTTATAAGTAAAATATAAAAACTGAAATAAATTGGACTGAATATGCATGTGTAACATATATCCTAGAGCTTGAATTTTGGAACCAAATCCTTAATAGGATTAAGTTTGTCATCTTAAAGTAGAAAGCCAAAGAGGAAAGTGGCCTTTGGTTGCATCCCCGAGTATTGAGGTTTTATTGTTTCTAGCTTATTCTAGCATTATTTCTCTTATTTCTGGGAGTTCCTTTCATTCTGGGAATACCTGTATATACCACGTGAAGAGTAGAATATGATATGACTTTATAATTTGTTTACAGAAGATATATGTGAGTATGCTGTTAATGTAAATTGTTCGGCCTTTGCTGTGTCCACTGTTACTATTTTACTGCCTAAATGTGAGAAATTATCTTCTCTTCCTCCAACATACTGTACAAGTGTTAAAAGATTTGCCCGCTTCTAGTACCATATAATTCACCACATCACTTGTCTACTTTTTAAGAATCAGTATAAAGAAAAACAATACATTAGAATAAAGTTTGCATATATGTATATGTGTTTTTACTGAAAATCAAGCACTTGTAGCTTTGTGTAGGCCTCTACCTGTCTGATTTACTAATCATCTACAATGCTGCCATGGAGATGACGTGTTTACTCTCCTGCTTTGTCCTAAATGGTGTTTGAGAAATGAGGCCTGTGAGTTTCCCTTTGTGAGAATGATACAGTGAACTCAGCAGTATCTTGGACAGACGAGCTGAACATCTTGTCCCCACCCTGTTTTGTCTATACAGTTAATCAGAAGTCTTGTCTATGTCTGCTTCAGTGTTTACTATTTTATTTTCATATCTGAGCATTTTGTTTTCTGTTAGCAGTATTCCTTGTTGTGTGGCCCTTTTGATTGAATCTCTCTAATTGCTGGTCAGCTGTTGCCACGTGGCAAATAACAGGTGATGTGCTGAATCTCATGGTCATCCTTGTAACTATGTCCTTCTTAATGAATTCTGCAGTTGGCTGAGTAATTATAAATGTAATCTGTGCAGACACATGAGCTTAAGGATGTCTACAAAATCTTAAGACATTTTTGCAAAACGAGGAAAAATAGTCTTATAAATGTTGAAACAGAATGCCATGAACTTTATCCTACTCTTAGGAAAACATTCTCCTTGGCTACAGAAATCAAATAAACTTGATTTGTAATGATCAAGGACATAAATGAAGTGGGTGAAGGTGGAAAATTTCTGTCTCACAGGTAATCAGTGACATCTGCCAGAGGTCATTACAGCTACTTTTAACTGTGAACACTCACCAGCTAAACTACTCGCCACAACCAAATAACCTCTAAGTAAATCCAGTACATCTGTATATATGTGTAGATAGAAACAAAAAATATCTTGAAAACTTACTGTTGGCTCTTAGATAATCAAGGTGATGATAATTTTAAAGGACATTTAAATAACCACGGGCCTTGGTGAAAGGACTATGGAGGCCAGAATGGTGCAACAAGATGTTATTTACAAGTTTGGTGTTTTCTTTTTTTCTTAAGTCCCAGATATTTCAGATACTAATCACAAGAATAAAGACTGTTGAATATGAAATAAAGCCAAGCAATAATGTGCCCAAAAGAGGCAGTTACACCAGCAAGCGCATCTATTATGGGCACGCCATTAGATAGCTATGGTCTGCTCTATGAAGACTGTGACCCAAAGGATGAGATAAGCAGGGGCATCATTTCTGCTTTCTTGCTGGAAAAGCTTGTGTATGAGCTCCATAAAAAGGTACAGCACTAGTAGACTTTAGTAGGGATATGGATGACAGCTCTTTTTTAATTCTAGCCAAGACAGAAAAGGAGTCCATAAGTCCTGCTACCTTAAAACTCAAGACAACTCCAGCTGGAAACTTTGTTGAAATGGAGAAGTTAAACATATAATACTCTTCCTGGACACTTGCATGTAGAAAAGCAATTCAGTTAACTATGCCTGGAGGATTACTAGCTTTAGCTATGAAAAATTGGTTCCCAAATGTAAAATAAATAAAACGTGAGGCAAAAAGGGCCTCAAATAATGCCTTGCAGAAAATGATGTTCCAGATGGGCATTTCTAAGTACCAATTCTTCATGAAGTATCTTTCTGGGTTCAAGCTCAAAATCGATTGGCTGCAAAACAGAAATAAAAGTCACATATTTGACGCTTCAGAAAAAGATACTGATGCTCAACCAGCATGGTAAGAATTATAGTGAGAGATACTCTAGTGATGTGTGGTAAAGAGAATAAAATGGGAGAGAAATGCTAACTTCTTCCTTGATCTCTTAAGATGTGGGGATGTCATCCACTTATCTGGGGTGAAAATTATAGCTTGCCTTTTGACACTGCTGCTAGCATTACTCTTCGTTACTTTAAAAATTAAATTTAAAAATTAAATATTCTTTAGCAAAACTTTTAAGCAGTTACACAGCTTTTTTTCCGATTTATATCATTGCTTTCAACAACATAGAAAGACCATATAGAGCAAACTATATTGAATGAGTAAAAAGGGCTTACCCAGGTTTATCAATATTTTTTAATGATTTTAGTTTAGATTCCTTAGCATTTATTTTAACCACATCTTTGAGTAAAGTATTTTTCATAATATTTTCCATCATGTCTCAAAATGATGTTGGTAAATCAGGAGATTGCAGTATTATAGTCATACTCCTCAGTCCCTAGAGGAGAGCTTGTTTTAAGGGCATCTGGCGATATCTTTACTGAAGTTGAAAAAGGTCAACAGAGCCCAAAAACTTAAGAAAGAAATACACTAACAATTACTACATTTCTAAACGTATTTATTTCTGCCGTACTAATGTGAACAATACGTTGTGCATAATACTGTAGCTGGTTGTGGTATGTCAATTCATTCTGTAAGTGTGTACAGTCTGTGAGTAGTTGGTTCTCTATTTTTATGTGTAGAAAAAATAACATGCTTTATCCCATTTTAAGGTCAAGTTCTGTCATCAGGTAGGCACATGTCTGAAAGTGAATAAAGCTGGCAAAAGTGTGCATGTGTATTCAGTAACAGAATTTGTCCTTTCATTTTTGAAGGTCAGAAAGGGCTGTTGGTTTTACTCATCTTCGAGAGTAGATAACATAATTATCATAAAGGCTGAATATAGTAATCAGTACATCGGCATGTTATTAAATATGCCAGAGCTAATTAACCACACCATTAGTCACAGGTAAGGTCATTTCTTTGACCACCTGGATGATTTACATTCCTCACACATCCTCCCTCTGCTATGTGTGTGACTAGGATGTACATACTATGGGTGTGATCGTGTACATACCTCGTATGAATTATCTAAATCCTCAAAGCAGCTACAGGGAAACAGGGAGAAGAAACAGTTGTTCAAAAGCCTCAAAAGGGCTAATCAAGTGTATTTTCATCTTCTACACATAAAAATGTATATATATCATAACTGTAAATAGCTTACCCACATATATATGCACACATAAATGCATTTTATTCATACTAGTATATTAAAATAAATCACAAATTAAAATGACTAATTGAAAACTGCATTTTTTCATGACTGTTCTGTTTTACATATATTAATATTGGATCAGATGCTTTCTACTAAATGGTGTTACTCCCTGGTAGCAGATGTGGTGCTTAGGAAAGCCCAGCCCCACTGGGCCATGAAATCTAGTTAGTGTCTTACTGGGGCACAGACTGTACCTGAACAGCTTCAAAAGTTTAATGCTGTTCATTAAGCACCTAATTTTATATCTGGAAATGATAAACACTGAGGAAAACCAATTATGTTTTGTAGACTCCATTTGTACATTTATTAGTGTGTTTATTTGCACAAGCAATAAAGGCCCTACCTTTTTGGAGATATATCCCTAGATTTCAAAATAGTGTATAATCACTTGAAGTGGAAAATGACTGTAGGCATTCTTCTCTTGAGATCGGCAAAACAATGTTTAGCAACACCAAAGAGAAG